AGCTTCTCTTCTTCTCACAATTCTCCACCTCGTACATCATTTAATAGACCTCAAATTTTGGACGAACACAAGAAGAAGTAGCAAGCACCAACTTGGCTGCATCATTCAAACCATGATTGCCTACGTACCCATAACTCGGGATCAAGCCTCCGTAGTTCACCTCCACCTTCATATACTCTCCACCTCATTCCAACCTCGCCCCGAAGGGCCATGCCCTCTCGGACATATCAGGCATATCAACACGGACTAATGTGAAGCAAGTCCAAGTAATGTTGAAACTTGCTACCCGTCACCACTTTGGTTAACATGTCAGCTGGGTTCTCATTTGTGTGTACCTTCGAAAGTGAAATATCACCTTTCTCTATAACATCACGCACAAAATGATACCTGACGTCAATATGCTTGGTTCGAGCATGATGAACCTGATTCTTAGCCAAGTGAATCGCACTCTGGCTATCACACCACAAGTCCACACAATCCTGCTCAATCCCCAAATCATCTAGAAGACCCCACAACCACAATGCTTCCTTCACTCCCTCTGCCATGGCCATATACTCGGCCTCTGTAGTGGAAAGAGCAACTGTAGCCTGTAACATCGATCGCCAACTAACTGGGGCACCATGTATGCAAAACACATATCCAGTAGTAGATCGTCGTCTATCTAGATCACCTGCATAATCCGAGTCCACAAACCCACTTATATGACATGCATCTCCACCAAAACATAGACCCGTATCCGCGGTACCTTTTAAGTACCTCAGGATCCACTTCACAGCTTCCCAGTGTGCCTTCCCCGGATTCGTCATGAATCTACTGACCACACTCACCGCCTGTGAAATATCTGGGCGTGTACACACCATGGCATACATCAAACTGCCAACTGCACTAGCATAAGGCACACGATCCATGCGTACCTTTTCTTCCGTTGTAGTAGGAGACTGTTTACCAGAGAGCCTAAAATGTGGAGCCAATGGAGTCACCACCGACTTTGCACCTTGCAACCCGAACCTAGCAATAACCCGCTCAATGTAGCCTCCCGCTCAATGTAGCCTTTCTGACTCAAGAACATTCGCCGGTTGCCCTCTCTCTTCTGATCTCCATACCCAATATTTTCCTAGCAGCCCCCATATCCTTCATCTCAAACTCTTTACCAAGTTGGGATTTCAACTTATCTATCTCCACCTTGCTTTTCGATGCGATAAGCATGTCATCCACATATAGAAGAAGATAGATATAGTTACCTCCCCGAAGTTTCCGAATATAAACACAACAGTCATACTCACTTCTGGAGAAACCATGCTTTAGCATGAAGGAGTCAAATCGCTTTTACCACTGCCGAGGAGATTGCTTCAATCCATATAGTGATTTTCTCAAACGACATACCTGACGTTCCTTATCCTCAACCTTGTAGCCATCAGGTTGATGTATATAGATCTCCTCATCCAAGTCCCCGTGCAAGAAGGCGATTTTGACATCGAGTTGTTCCAGCTCAAGATCATGATGAGCAACAATACTCAATAGCACCCGAATGGAAGTGTGCTTGACCACAGGAGAAAAGATCTCATTGTAGTCAACTCCCTCTCTTTGTGCAAACCCCTTAGCCACTAACCTTGCTTTGAATCTTGTACCACCGAGCTTGGTAGGGTCCTCCTTCTTTTTATACAACCACTTGCAACCAATAGCTTTCTTACCTATGGGCAATGGGACAACCTCCCATGTTTGGTTCTTGTGAAGTGATTCCATCTCTTCTTCCATTGCCGCCAACCAACTCTCGCTACTATTGTTTAAAATAGCTTCCTTGAAAATGGTAGGCTCATCATCCTCCACCGAGAGTGCATACTCAACCAAATTTGTCTGCCCATAGTGCCTCAAAGGCTCGTTTGACCCCAACTTTAGAACTTGCTTGTAAGTACGGCGTGGCCTAGAGGAAGCCAAGTTATCTGCAAGCTGCTGCTGTTGCTGTGCCTGTACATTCTCTTGCTGAATTGCCTCTTGTTCAAGTGCATCATCACTCTCATCTTGAGTGTCTGTTTGATGCTCCTCTTGAACATGCCTAGAATCAAGTTGATCTCTAGGTTCTATGTCAACAACTTGAGACATTGTAGTCTCAACATCATCACCACCGGGCACTGTAGCTTTCAACGAAGCTACCATGAAATTCTCATCAAAAGTAACATCTCTGCTGATTATGAACTTAGAATCCTCTAAACACCAAAGGCGATAGCCTTTAACACCTGCCGCATACCCCAAGAATATAGCCTTCTTGGCCCTCGCATCACGCTTTCCCTCGTTGACATGATAGTAGGCTGTGCATCCGAATGTTCTGAGTTTCTCATAATCTGCATGTTCTCCTGTCAATACCAACCAGCATAGGATCGCATACACATCGATTTCTCTCGAAATGTACGATTCAGTCTTTCCGCGACCCCATTCTGTTGCGGTGTATTTCTTACTGTCCAGTGTCTCACAATGCCTTCTTTACCACAGAACTCCTTGAAAGCACCATCTGTATACTCAGTACCGTTATCAGATCTCAGTGTCTTCAATTTCTTTCCTGTTCTGTTTTCAACCATTGCTTTCCACTTCTTGAAGGTGTCGAATACCTCATTCTTATGCTTCAAAAAATAAATCCAAGCATATCTAGAATAATCATCAACAAATGTAACAAAATACCTGGAACCGCCTTTGGAAATGACAGAAGCCGGGCCCCATACATCCGTATGCACATAGTCAAGAATGCCTTTGCTTCTATGTTTGCTTGGCTGGAACTGAACTCGGTGTGCTTTACCGTACACGCAATGCTCACAAAAGTCCATGCATGGCTTCTTCAAGTTCTTTAGCAATCCTTTCTTGACTAGCAAATCTAACCCCTTTTCAGACATATGTCCAAGCCTCCTATGCCATAGCCGAGTGCACTCACATGGGACTCCACCACTTCCACTTGTTCCAACTGCTACATCTTCAGTAACTGTAGTACCCTGAAGAGCATAGAGATTGCCTTCACGAATACCCTTCATCACAATCAAAGAACCACGAACAACCTTCTTTACTCCATTCCATG